TTGTCTAATCTAGACAAATCAAATCATGGTATTTTCGCTCAAATTGGGTCACTGGATGTCGAAATATTGCATACTAAGTGACCGATTCATAATTCACCGATCAATTTTTCATTAGAAATTGATCACCTAAAAATGAATCGAACGTGATACGTACATGTATCACGATCTCCAGTAATCCTATTCGAACAAAAATAATACCGTTTGATTCGTCTAGTCAAAACGAATTGAATGGTACATGTATTATTTTTATTTAACTCGGATTACGGAAATCGAGATATCACGTCCTAAATTGATCAATTCATTTTTGTTATATCAAAAAAATGAATCTGTTACTTTAAGATGCAATATTTCGATATCCAGTTATCCGATTTGAACAAAAAATACCACTATTCGATTCGTCTAGTCGAGACGAATCGAATAGTGGTATTTTTTGTTCCAATCGGATCACTGGATGTCAAGAATTAGATTATTGGATATTGGGATGTGTGTTATGAAATGATTGATTATACATGTATTTGGGATGCGAAAGTTTATGAACATACAATACCCGATATAGAATCTCTATAAATTAATAAAAAAAGTACATATATCAATGATCAGCGTTTGTGAAGTACTATATGGTGAAATTCTTTTAACGATTCTTCGGAAAAACTCCATCCTGTAAAAAATTGATTTTGGCGACAAAATAGGTTTTTAATAAATCACGGGGATATTTTTTTCACTTTGAACGTTCAAATGATTAAATGAATCGACGGATCATCTGAATAATCCGATTTGCAATTACATGACATGTAACTGAATCGACGGGTCATCGATTATATAGCAAAAAAATGATCGATTCGGGCCACTAATGTACAGTACCCCAAAAAGTAACGCCCGATTTAAAATTACATGTTTATAGTAAAACTTTACTAATAAGCAAAAGGAGCGGAATTGGCTGAGCAAAAGAACGAGATGCTATTGCGCCTTAACCCAACAGAAGCAATTTGCCCAAGGAAAACTGGAGAGAGATAAGGAGTTATTGGAAAAATAAACCCAGGAGAAATTTTGTTCATTTATAATTAAACAGTTCTTTCAATTTAAAAGTGACAGAAATCTTGCTCATTTTTTCAAAAATACATAGATCAACTTTAAAATGATATAAAATTATTATAAAAATTTAGATACATGTGTTTTATTATATAATTTTAGACCGGATGTTACTTTTTGGAGGTACTATACATTATCTTTATATGCAGTAGCTCTCACAAGAAATGGAACATTTGATAAAATTTCTTAGAATTTCATCTCCGTCAATATTATTCTAAACCAAATACATATAAACAAATATTTATTTTGAACCTCGAAATCTCTAATATTTTTAAAATTATTTTAACAACTGATTATTTTAACCATATTTATGAAATTGAGTATTTAAGTCAAAAATTTTTTAATAACTTTTGACCTACAGAAAGATAAAAACCAGGTTTAGACCACTAATTAAAATATTCTATTCTATGAAATTTACTACATACTAATTTCATAAAAATTACCTCAAGATCATAGAGATTTAAGATCCAAATCAGTAAATAAAAAGTCGAATTTATGAAATTTGGTGCATAGTTTGATTTCATAGAGTAAAATATTTTTTAAGTAGTGGTTCAAATTAGAACTTATCTAAGAAAAATATTCAATGAGAAATTTATTAAATAAAAATTTGACTTTAATCACTCAATTTCACAAAATGGTTAAAATAATCTTTTGTTAATTATTTTTAAAAAATACTAGAGATTTTGACAGAATAATAATTCCAGAAATTTTTATTGCTGTTCTATTTCTTGTGAGTGGAACTGTATGTTTAAACATAACATATGGACATGTATAGTGGCCACAAAATGTAATGTCCGGTTTATAAATTCATGATAAAACATATAAGAATTTGCAAAGAAATTTATTTTATAAAATAATAAATTATTCATTATAAATACTTAGAAATTTGTAATTTTTAAAAGAAATCACTATATGTTAGCTTTTTAAATAATGCAAATAGTTATATTAAAAACTTTCTTGATTGTGAAGTTAATGTTGTAAATTTTTATATATCAAACATATAATATTTACAACCTTAATTTTATAACCAAATATTTTTCAAACAAATTTCAAGTTAACTATCAAAAATACAACTAAGAAACCTTAAAATAATATGATAATTTGGATTTTTTATTATAAATTTTTTACTTTTTATATTCGTTTTATTTCATTTCTGCTTTATATACATAATTTTTTTTACCATTAACTAATACATTACACATCCTCTATATGGCTTCAATATCACCTCGATTCCTTACGGCGTCGAGCTCACGATCTTTCCCCGAACTCACACATTAAATTTTCACTACATTTCCTTCAGAGCAGTCTTGAGCTTGTAGCTTTCCAGATCCTGCTAAATTTTCTTTTTTCCTATTTCTCTTGTATTCGGCAAGAGACCATTATCTTGTCATCGGGTCACGGCACTCAAAACCCTAATAAAAATTACCATTTTACTCTCGTCAAAGTCGGTCAACTGTAGGCGGTGTGTGTTATATTTACAGCCAAAAAATTTCGTTCAGTGTATGTTTAAAAGTCGAAGAAAAAAATAAAAAAATTTGCAGTCAACAATAACAAAAAGGGGAAAAACGCCACGTTTAATTTGTGTTGATATTGCACATCCAAATCGGGCATTACTTTCTGTAACGATAACGATAAGGATAATAAAAATTTGAGCATTTCATTATCGTTCTAGACTAATAATGTGAGTTATTTCAGAAGAGTATAACATGTAAAAAGAATAACACGTGACAATGAGACTTCCTAATTAATTTTACTAGAGCAAAAGATTAAGAATATTATGAATTAGGTTTAAATGCTAGAGAAGCATAGCTATTCTAAAATTAGTTTTATCATAATTGTTTGTTAAATTATATTTAAAGTTAGTTTGATCATAATTTTTTGTTAAATTGATTCTGAGATATTTTGATTATTAATTCTACTAAGTTGCTATATATTGCCGGATTAAACATTTGTCAAGTTGTTCTGTATTGTTGGATTAATTTGAGTAGGCAATCATTGTTATTTGTAACATTTGTTGTTTTGTCTTTGTTTTTCTTCGATTGTAAAATAAAAGAGCATGAAACCTGCAAGTAAAGTTATAATAATTGATCCAACTGAGGCAATAATAATTATATTTTGTTTCTTATTATTACTACTAGATGTTGGAGATGAGGTTGTAGAATTTGATTCCGGAGATGGTGGTTTTGATGTTGTTGATGAAGTGGCAGATTTATCAACCCATAATCTTTAAATCCAAGACTTTGATAACCTTTCTATTAGGCTTTTTAAAATATCCTTAAATTTCAAAATCAAAATTTTATTATTTGGTTAGTAATTACGTGTAATTAATAAATAAACTTGGACATACAATCATATAATTGTTATACATTATATGACGGACGTAAGTCGATACATCGTCGATGCTAAGGTTGTTTTTAGTTATATGCTCTGAAAATTCGTATGTGTAAAGTAATCAAATAACACGCAGAATTCCTGAAGCATTTGATTTTGTGCCATCATATATGATATTGCTTTTGGTTATTTGTCGCTATAAACAAATATAATTTATGAGTTATTCGTCTATTTATATATATTCATTGTTATTTAATACTTTAGAACGACTGAGTAGAGGTCGCTTGTATATGTAGTATTTGTCGTTATCTTTTAAATATTAGTAATTATTATTCGAACAATTGTAAATGTATTTACATACTCTTCTAGTCCATGGATTATTATTTGTATTGAGAGTATCATATATTAAAACCTTTAAATGTAGAATTTTAAATATAGAATTTTGTTAAAAATTAAAAAATCATTGAGTAGATGCATTTAATACCTCGCGAATATAAACACATTCAATAGTATTTGCGAAACACTGCCAATAAAACAAAGTTTGGCATCAATAAATAAAATGATTTCTGTACAGAGGATAGAAGGAATAATTCGGATCTAGTGTTAAATATGTTCATAGCTCGATCTGTCACATTACTTCCAGTATCTCCGCCCCAGATATAAAGTTTTCCTTTGTCATCAAAAATCGAACTTAAATAGGCTCTTTTACCTGATAAAATATCTGTGGATCTAATAGACGAAATTAAAATTGGATCAGACAAAAGTCGTTTACGAATACCCTCTAGCCCAATCAGTATCATTGGGCTATTCGTTATGTTTAAATAGTTACATAGCAAGTATTTGTTGTGAACTTATACTTATGATTAATCCACAAAAGCATATATTAACTAAGATATATCGAGTGCCTTTTCAGATGTATTGTTACTCATATATTTCGATAGCACATATGTATTGTGTTCGACATCTACTTGAAAATAATATCTTTTTACAAGAATCTTGATCTGCTAATTTTCAATTAGCAATCCTTTGTTATATTTCACGTGCATCCAATCTAATACGAAGCCTGCGCAATTTACTTTTAGTCTATTTCTTCCCGTATTTCTGCTAGTCTCTTCATATGCTAAGCACCACAAGGGATTGACAAATATTAGCTAATATTCTGGGGGAAGGGTGTGAAAAATTTCATGTGCGTGTATGTGTTAAGTGAAATCTCAGGAGGGGAAGGGTCCCTATAATAAATAGACATTTTTCACTCCCATAACTATTTTTCGGTATTGCAATCATTTAACACAGTACATAATCACTAACACATACATATTGTGATAGGTGTTAAGGCGATGGTGCATTATTGAATTTTCAGAGTCAAACTTCTTAACATCAATACATTATTGTTTTCGATAATAGTTAGTGTTATCTCTTGAATTATCGTAATACTGTATTAAGTGTTTTTTTTCTAAAGACAAATACATTTTCTAAACAGAAAATAACGACGAAGTTTTTAAAAATCACATAACAGAGTACGTACATGTACGTATATGTAAATCGACAACTTGCACTTTCTACATGTACATGTAATATGTAGCAATAGTTTTATGTAGTTAATAATGCATTCACAAAAATAAATCATGTACAGTCGTCTCCATATAATCACACAAAAAAAGTGTGATTAAAGAGGTTGTGAGTCAAACTTCCTATGCTTTATAATAGCTGGAACTGGGAAAAGGTGTGATTGTGGAAAGGACAACTGTAATTCATAAATTGGTTTTCAGGGCCAACGTGCCTAGTTGGCTTATAAATAAAAATTCATTATCATTGTTAACCTAATTTACAAATCAATGGCGCATCCGCTCCCTAACTTTAAAACACACACAAAATATAAAGTACGTGCGTTGATAAAAGGTGCCTATGTACAAACCATGCGAAGAGCAATTGAAATATTTTATATAAATGCGTATATGTATGTGAAATTCTAAGCCTAATTCAATAAGGAAATTCGAATAAAAAAGGTATCTTTTTAATACTGATACATGATGTTAGTGATAAGTTCGATGGTGACGATTTACCAAGAATAAAAGATTAATATAAAATCAAGTATGGCAGAAAAAGTAATCGAAGTCAAACAAATCAGCAAAAGATATGGCAACAAACCAGTTATAAATAATGTCTCTTTTTCCGTTCGCAAAGGAACTATCCACGGGTTTATTGGTTCGAATTGCTTTCTCATAAATCTGTGAATGTTTATAATTAAAATAAACGTAGTTATCTAGCTTTCCTTAGGTAATATATAATTGCATTTTGATTAAAGAAGTATTGAATTATAACCTAATCATTACACTCTAATTATCTTTAATTTCAAAGCTTTTACCATGAGATGTTCGGTTATACATGGGGGCTAGTTTCATTTTCAATTTTCCTTAATCTTAATTAATTTCGGCTTTTCAATATTTTTTATATAAAACTATATATTTTGTTTATTTTATTTTAAATTAATTTCGGCTGTTAGAAAAATTAATTACAGCATTTTAATTTCAGCAATATTTTATTAAGAAGGGCAATTTAGCTCCATGTATATGTTTGGTACCTATGGAACGTCGGCTTGGTCATTATTGTCTTTTCAGATTTCGTTTGATTGATGTTATTTCTAATGCTAGACTGATACCGAACAGCCCCCTCGTCGACGATGACCTGGAAAAGATACATCAAGATTAATAACAATAATGTATACATGACATTCGTACGGCTTTGTCCTCTCACTGAATCATGCTCAGAACATGGTAACACTCCCAACATGAACTCTAAAATTAATATCATACAATAAATCTCATCCAACAAGAGGTCCATTACGTAGGCCCTTACCAAAAACCCTAAGGACAAGAGGCGAAACTGTTAGTGCAGATGAAAGACAGAAGGCATCACTTATCAGCCATCTGCGGGGCATATCATCCACGCCATCTTCAATAGGTGTTCTTCGTTTTTCCGAGACAGACTAAATCCTCATCGAATAGTATCTGCTGGTTCACCTCACTAATAAGCAACTCAATATTTTGGTTAGAATTCGTTGTCTTGATGATAAAGTCCAGCTTCACGCCCAAAAGGATCGGATCGAAGAATTTTTTACCTTTGCAGATGATTCTGACATTTTGTTCTTCCAATCCAGAGTCTTTCTGTTCTTAAAAAGAATCCTATTATCGGACAACATTACGATGGACATGAATGTCCTCAATGACACGATTTTCGTGTATGAGGACTGCTCATTATTAATATCCAAGTGAAAATAACTTTATTGGAATAGACAAATCTACAATTTTTATGAAACATGCAAGTTCCTAATGATATCTAGCATCACCTCTTCTCCATCGATTGTGTTTTCGAAATTCTGTTCGATGTTCTCGGTAATTGGGTTCATCCGAAAATATTTCAAAATTTATATAGGAATCAAAACTAGGAAATAACAACATACGTAATACATACATTTATTTTGGCATTCTCTGGATCGGTGCATGTATGCATATGGATACAGTTTCCGTAACTCAACAAAAAGGCTTTCCCATAGTTCGTCATCAAAATATTCAGAGTTCATGAAAATTTTATGAAAAACAAATACACGACTTAACAAAACCATAAAAGAAGAAAGACTTAATCATGATATATCCCAGTATTGACTTTACAATTAAGATTATTCAAAATTTAGAATCTGTGTTTATTTTGTTATTATTTCAAACCTATTTTATAAAGTGAACTCAAACAAGATAATTATGACGTTATGCATTTAAAAAAAAATAAAAGATGAGAAAAAATAAACAATTCTGGTTTTCGATATTAGAGAAAAATAAAATTTTACTGAACTATCAACTTATTGAAAATAAATAAATATTATCATTATTGTCTTAATTCAATCTCTCACCCCTTTTATTTGATTATCCCGACACGTATTCAATAGGACGTTTACTGTTTGTTTTACGCTCTTTGAAATCTAGTTTTTAGTTAAAAAAAAATATAAAGTAGTATACAATATTTTAAAACATCGAGACTCCGTCGTTGTTAACGAGAAAACTTACATTGTGTTTGGGTATCTTTTCCAATAGTCAATTTCAAACCACGATGCACAAATTCCTTATTGTGAATATTATTCAACCTTTCACTGACGTTACTTAATAGTATTAATTTATCTTTCCGATCCACGTCATTTTCTGTTGGTGAACGACGACGTTGTCGGTGTTATTCAAACTGTTCGGATATCTTTGTTTGACCTGTCCCCGATTATTCAATGTCTTAGAGATCTCTCAATTCTTCGAGCATGTACAGTACATGATAATGAATATACATAGCTACCACTGTATCTGCACTTTAGAGCATTTGAAAAAGTTAATTATATTAAAAACAAAAAAGCAATATGTTTACATTTTAAAAGGTATTCATTTTACCTCGTTTATAAACTCGGATGTAATTTGCTTTGAATTATATAATGTTTCAACACAACTTCAAATTCTCCTCATCGTTCAAATCCAAAACATCCATCGCGTACTCATTACTTTGACAATCGATACATTTATTTTAATCGTGAATATTGTGAACTGAACACTTATCGCAGTACTTCTCACTTTGAGAATTTACATACATACTATAATCGTGAGTATTCAAGTCTTGATGTTTAGAATTTCTCCGAATAGCTGTTTTAGAATTGTTAATCAATTCTCAAAGTAAAATTTACATTTCACCCGAATATCATTTAAATGTTATTTTTATCGAGAAGACAAACCAAAAAATGGACGGATCCCTATTTCAGACATTTTTTAATGTAATGCAAGTAGATTATTGTCATGTTCTTGAATTATAAATTCACAATACGTATAAATTTTCCAATAGGATGATACATAATTGTGTAAAAACTTCATTTTTTAATTTTAGAAATCCTCGTGCATGAATTTACCGATTAAAACTAGGAAAACTACACGATAATCCGAAGGTGCACCTCTGATCTCGTTACTAATCGAAAAACAATAATATTACATCATTGGATGAGTATAATGCTTGCTTTATTCATTGATATTGATAATTGAAAATACATACGAAATCTTTGATGAGGCAGTAGACTAGAATCGATTTACTTGAACACATGAGCCAAGTGCAATAAAAACTGTAAATTATGTTATGAATTCTAACCCAATTTACACCATTTCTGTTGCACTCAGCATGCATGAGCTAAGGTTTTTAAATCTTCTTCCAAAAACTGAAAATATATTTTAATATTCCTCCACAAGCAGAATTGAGCATTGATTTTGTCATATTGAAGTGAAAACTATAAAATAATTTATGAAACAAATGCTGACATATAACTATCGAAAATAATTATGGGTCTTCGTTAGAAACTAGATGCATTAGGAAGTTTAACTGAAAATTTCAATAATTCACTATAAAAACACAAATGAATCGATAGCTATGAAACAAAACTTCAATCGTCATCTATGATAATAATTAACAACAAAGATATAAAACAAAAAAATGCAGCATTAAGTGATATCTCGAAAATTTAATGATAAATCTTCGAAACTTCTCAATTCTGGCAAAAAATTAGCAAAAGATTTAAGAGCAATACTGGAAAAAATGGCATTTGAAGTACTTTTAAACTTGACAGAACATGGATTTATGGATGGACAAATTATAGTGAGTTATTGCTATCGAAATGGAATAGGAATACAAAAAGATGAAGCAAAAGCATTCGTGTGGTGGTTGAAAATTGAGATGCGGCAGGACAGTTTAATCTCGGTTATTGCTTGAAAGGGTTTGGAACACAAAAAGATGATGAATTTTGGTGGTATTTAACGGAAAATGGCGATGCGCAAGGACATTTAATCTCGATCATTGTTATGTAAATGCTATTGGAACACAAAAAGCTGAAGATAAAGCATTTGAGTGGTATTTTAAATCAGCAGAAATACACAAGCACAAGGACAATATGAGGTAGGCACCTTTATTTGGATAGAATGGATGCTATGGGAAGCGTTATAAAAGGAGTTAAATAAAAAAAATCAACAGAAATAAATATTGGTTTCACTAGCATTATACTATTCGCTGGGCTAAAAGACGACAAAAAAGCGCTTGCTTGATTGGTATTTGAAACTAGCTGAAAATAAAAATTTTATATTGACTCTTAATTTAATATATGATAGAGGATAAGATAAATTAATGATATAAATGAGCCTTCATGTTTTTCAAATATTAGCAGAATCTGGCAAAATTCCAGCTTACAATCATCTTGTAAAATGCTACTTTATCGCAAGGTATTCCTCTTTAGTTTCATAAATAGCATCTATCTAACCTTTTTTTTCTTTTTAAATTTTTCATTTGAAAGCAGTATTTCAATAATAAAGAGTAACCGCAAATTTATAAAAAAATGTTAATTATGTCACATGGTGCATAGGACTTATTGGTACGGCCTATTTAACAAAACAATTCAAAAAAACAATTCAACAGAACTTATTGATACGACCTGGACAAAGGAAAATCAAAATAACAATAATATTAAGAATACAATCGACGGCTTATTTAGAGTGGAGGAGCATACACTACTTGTAACTTGCTCACAAGATTTGAAGTTTGACCAGAAATAATAAAATAATAGTGTATTCACGAGTAATATTATTATTACAGGTAAGAACTTTGTTATTTTATTTGATCAAAGCATGTCTTTCACAGACTTCTTCTATTATACAGTTTTTAGGTTATTATACTAATTATGGGATACTATACCAATTACTACGCTAATTCTAAGGTTAGTATTTTCTTTGATTGTGATTCTTCTAGAAAAAATTGAACAATAATCGTTTGATTGTTTCTCTGCTATAGGTAATCTTTCAGATAAACAACACTGATCCGTTAAAATATTGTGAAGGTGAAAATTATTCGTAATGAATTTTTCCTGTTTTGGTTGACAATGCGACATGTACATGTAATTAGGATCTTCGTGGGGGATCGCCAAAGTGCTTACGGTAAGATTTTCATGTAGAAATTAGTTGAGCATTATTGCGGAATTAAGGATTTATTGTTACTACGGTAACAGCACCATAACATCTATCATCAAACGTTTGTATTTTATATGCACCATATCTTCCAGATTGAATCTTTGTTATCAATCCAAAGGTGGTTAACAAAGATTTTCGTATGTACAGTATATATCAAACATAAACTAACTAATAATTTGATGTCATTGTTATGCATTCTTTTTTTGAAATCTTTAACAAAGTCAAAAAAAATTCACTAACGGTATTAGAAATACATGTATTGTGTAGTTCATACATGTTCAAACACAAACGGAAGTGGGCGACGACTTCCACACATATCAATATGATATAAATCATCGCTATAATAATCATTAACGCCAACACTAATAAAATAAATTCAAAATAAATGGTAATAATGATAATATAATTACTATTCTATAAACCTTCAATTTATGTTGACGTGATTAATGGCATCTTACGCCTACAACATATGTCTATAAAGTCAAACACATATTTAACTACCAATTAGAATAAATTTCTTCAAAGTTAAAAGATTCAACCATTTCAGGAGCTCGATCGTGTTCGTTATCTTTAGCCTTTTGATACCATTTTAATGCCAAATCGAGATTTTGTTCAACTCCTATTCCATATTGATAAAATTTCCCAAGATTAAACTGAGCTTTTCTATGTCCAAACTCTGCTGCTCTTAAATACCACTCAAATGCTTTGCAGTCATCTTT